TTTGTTCACTGCGCGCCTTAGTATCATGTGCGACAACAGCGGTTTCAGAGGTTTTTCAAATATGTCGTTGCTAACCTTTGCAAAAGGTTTTGTTTTGTAGGTAGATTTCAATATCCTCATCCATATATATATTACATATTAGATACTTAAAGTTTATTCAACAATTTAAAAAATAAAAATTTATTTACAATTTCTGATATTAAAAAATGAATTTGTTAATGAAAAAAATATTATTATGATAGTTCAAACATTCAAGATTAAAATGCAGAAAGATTTAATTAATTTCGATAAATAGTTTCCCAGATAAAAATTCATACGTACTAGTTAACTAACTGTATTAGTTAACTAACAAATAAAAATTCGATTTTTAACACAAAAAATTAATTTATAACACTAATATAATCACCTTATCAAAAAACATTTGAATAATTTATCTCAGAATCGAAGATATTAGTTTTGTCCACATTTTCGCCGTTTTTCGCCACTGTGCGTCGTACGTAAGAGGATAAATATGGATAAATAAGCTGTAGGATATCAAAGGGGGCATAAGATGGTGGCAACAATTGGACCTTGAATAGCACGTTTGAAGGTCACGTAAACGTCATTTCCAGTGTTTTGAACGAAACCCTTATTTTTGGCATATTCTTGTAACTCTTATCAAAACACTAGCTCTGTTTATTTTTGTGCTAGTCCTCCCCAAGATATGAAGCTTTATAGTTGGCAAATCGTCGACATTAACATTACCCAAGGTGTACCGCACGAAGTTTGCCCGATTATTTTACCCCACTTATGTATCAACTTTAAAGCTTCATATCTTGGGAATGATTTGCACAAAAAAACAAGCATAGGTAGAATTTTAGAAACGCCTCGACGAACCATAAAAATATCCAACAAAAAATGAGGATTTTATTTAAGAAACTGAAGATGACGTTCACGCGATATTGATGCTAAATCTTATGATACCCTTAATATCGTATAACTTTTGTCTGAAATACTTTTCATAATGAAAACCGTTTCCAAAATATAAGGGTGAGGTCGTACTTTAGAGAGACTCTGTATATATAATTTTGATCTATTTTGTATAATTGCAAACCACACGAATATCAACGGAAAAGCGAGAAATTGAATTAATTATCCAATTACGGACGAAGTCTATCATCGCAACCTAAATTTTCATCCCTATGAAGTGCTAACGTCTTAGCAGTCACGAATAACACGTTCGTTAAGGTAGCTTCAGAAATTATAATACTAATATGATCATTTCGCCGTTTTCCTAATTACGTAATTTATGTTAAGAAAATACATCTCATTTGAATAATTTAATTTAGTATCAAATGTACAAGTACGGGAAGTAATAATACGATAAAATCTTTTTTAGAAATTCAACTTTGTTTTTATGAAGCGGTAAAGATTGTATAGTAAATAATATAAAATGTAAGACCCAGTTTGCAAATTGCAGATTTTCGTTATATTGTTATGGAAGGGACTGTACAAGTGAAAAATATAGAAACAATACAATATAGAAAAAAGATTAATCACACTGAACTAAAATAAGAGTTCACGATGAAAATGCTTGTGTTTCTACTTTCTTAATACTATTCTGGCGGTTCGGCTAGCTATGGTAGGGAGGCTAGGAAAAGTAAAGGAGAGGGAGAAACGTTTCGTCCGGGGCCTGCTAGTGGACTCATCAGTAAGGCGTTCTAGCAGGCCCTTGCTTTAGACGCGGGGATGCAAGGAAGGGATGGACAGGAACTATATATATATGAATAAGAAGGCTCTTTGAGTACTAGCGAGAAAGTCTAGGTCTCGATTCTATGCGCCGTCTAGTGGCGATGAGTGTGGGAGTGAAACCGCCACACTATACTTAATACTATACAGGGTGGTTGCAATAATTGTGTCGACTTTGAATTTTTCCCTTATTTTTAATAATATGAAAAAATGTTATATACAAAAATTGCACCAATTATATAACAGTGAAACAATATCAACACTAGATTTTCGAAACCCGTCAAATTTCCCTTCAACTCATCGGATTTTATATCAAAATGTACGCTAACCTTCATCGAGATTAAGCATAATTTTACAAACTAGTTTACGTATAATCCATTTATTTATTTATTTACTTTTGTAATTTCATTTTGGAAAGTGGTCATTAAACTTTCGTAAAACTGGGGTTAAATACACGAAACGTCAAACAAAATTTATTCAGCAAACCATTAACCCCTTGCCATACTTTGACGAGTCTGACTCATGACACACTTGCACTGCATACGTAACAAATCTCGCTGGAATTAATAATACGTATCAATTTTGAAATTTAATCATAATTCATATAATGAACGATCTAACAACAAAATTTACGTAATATTTGAACTTTATTTATTTTAATATCGTAGCGGTAAAGAATTAATGCTGACTAACGCATCCGATAAATAAATTATATAGTAAAGGGTTAATTCTATCGACCATTCTAATTGCTTGCACTTATCTTTATCCACTCTTATTAAACCCACTTATAAATCAGATCACTTTTCCCTTTATGCCCAAATTTCTGAACGCAGACACCCCAATATTTATGAGGGATCGGTTTGTTCGAGGGTTGTCGGGTGCGATCGGGCGCGATCGGGCGACTCGCACAATTGGCGCCAAGATAATTTGGCGTTACCATGATTTGGCGCGGAAAATTAGCGGGAGAATAAAAGATCGCAAGGCATTTGTTTCCTTTTACGCAGGAACCAAGAGAGAACGAGGAAAACGGCGTGGCGTCGGGATCAGTCGTGTCGTAACGGTGGGAGTAGTAAGTTGTCCGGAAATGTCGTTGTATAATTGTCTTTGGTTGATTTTGTATTCTTGTTAAGTTATTAAAACTATTTTGTTATTGTTTTTCCCAAAAAACAGTAATCCGTCATCCTCGATAATTTCGATCCTACATTTATATATCCGGACTCTGTTTTTACGCAATCTGGTCTGCCTGCTAGTCTTATTTCTGGCTCTGATTCTATTTTTCAGATGCTTACGTATCAGATGCATTTGCCTTATCACAACACTAAAATTCCGTTCCCAGGAGTCCTCTCACTCCCATTTACAGCCAAAACCATCGTATAAAACTGGAACACTCCGAGGACTCAGGATCAGTAATGTACATTCTTTTTGTGGATGTTATATCCATTCGTAATAATTGTGCTACAATAACATAACTGTATTCGAAACTTTTAAGCTTGAAGAAATAAAATATTTAAAATTAATTCGTATTGGGTGATTCAATGACAATATTGATTTGTCATTTGGACTGTTTATTTTGAAAATGATCCATCTACAGCCCCTAAATATATATTATTTTAGGTAATCTCACTTAGAAGAAATTTATATAATCGAAGTATATATTGGTAAATTAGAAGAAACATTACCAGACTTCCCATAATCAACTTATATTTTGTACACCTTGCCATACAATTTGTCAGATGCGTCAATCAAAACTAACTATTCATAGCTATAATATTAAAACAAAAAAAAAAAATTGAAATGTAAGTATTTTATATTCAGTGATCCTTGATCATGCAAATTATAGTTGCGCCTAAATTTCAAGTTGAGGAGTATTCAAAATATGATTAAGGTTTATCATATTTGAGCTGTGAGTGCGCGACCTAACTTCATTCAGGTGAGCACGTCACGAGTGACATTCGTCGAAGCACAACAAAGGGTTAAGGCAGGGGTCGGCAACCTTTTTCGGATGGCAGGCCATTTTCAAAATAAAATTTTTTATGCGGGCCGCACATTCAAATGTAACTTAAATAGTGCTTTTATATCATATACGAGTATAAATAAATTAAAAATAACATGTATTTCTCATTACAAAATTGTTTAAAATGTCAACTACTCTGCATTTTCCCCGAAAATGGGGTAAGAGCGTAACTTGAAGTTAAATACTTTAAAACTTTATTTCATGTGCAATGGGGCAAGAGCAGAATTATTAAGAAATCTGCTATAAAATGCTTTTTACTGCATTATGCCAGTACTCTAATTGCAAACAAGTATTCTCAGCTGAAATATAAAAGGGGATATAGTGAAACAAAACAAGGAAACAAACATACTTGTTGCGGCTCCGTTGAATCGCGGTGTGGTGTGAGAGGAGCGAAAGGCATTTTATCCGTTTGCTTAGTCGTTGTTCATTGTTTTTTGTATTTCGTCTGTTGGAAACAAATATTCTCGCTGGCTTCGCGCATAGGGTTGCAAGACCGAAAGGTTGGCACCCTGTCGCAGGCCCACGGGTAAGGTCGCTGGAAACAGCGATCTAGGCCCGGGAGACCAAAGGGGAAAAGCGTGAGCGCATTTCCAAAAAATATCCAGGTCTGCGAGCACGGCAAGCCTTTCCGAAGGCGAACTGGGACCGCTCGAAGCCGCGAGTCGCGATAACGAGGGAGAAGGAGTGGAGAGGCTCCCTGGTATCGGATTATCATTCCTTTCGTAGCATTGACGCGATAAACACTCTGTATTCGTTTCAGACGCAAAATTTCGTAGTTTATAATTCACTGTTTCGTAAATTGTTAAACGTACTGAATATTTAGTTTCATTTATTTAAAACGTCAAAGAATAAAGAGATTTTTTATTTCCAAGTATATTATTAGAGTTTTTTTTCTTCGATCGAACCCCTATCCTGGTATTTTTCTGTTACAATACTAACTGGAGCAATTTCGCTCATATAGTAATAAAAATAGTCTGTATACGCACTTGTCCCGTTTACGAACTTACCCCACTTCACCTTAATTGATTAATATGCTAACCTTTAATTTTGTCGAAAGAGAAGAAAGTGGACTTACACTACGTCCAAAATAAAGAGTCCATTTGTAATATTTTCATCAATGCGGCGATAACGAGAACGATCTCACAAACCGTATTTCGAAGAACGTACATCTCGCACAAAGGTTGACTCGATAACATTTAGGAAGCTTTTAATTATGGTGTACATCAAAATAGTATAACAATCTAGTTATTCTACATACCATCCTGATAGGGGCCATCCTGACACAGCTCCATTACTACTTTGTTGGTGCCGGTGTACAAAGAATTGAAGTGTTCTCTTTGTTTCTCCTTCATGCACTCAAACGTATAAGTCTGAATACACTTTATACCGGCCTCCAAGTCTCTGCAACAACAACAAGGAAATTCTTAATAACATGAAATTTTGGGAATTTAACTAATTAACACGAAGACTGTAATGAGGAACAGCAATTACTTCTGTCACGAAATTTAAAGGATGCGCTACTTCTATATTAAATTTTAATTATTAAAATTATTAAATATAATTATTATTTTTAATGCGAGCATTGCAGTATATTTTCGATGGACAGAAAACAATTTAAATTTAATTTTAGCTTCAATAGTGTTTTCGTTTTTTCAATTTAGGATTTGTATTAGTTTCATTATTTTAATTTCAAGATTGATATTATTGTTAGTCTTTGAATTTTAGATTATTATTGTTTTGCAAACTTCATGCTATGTACATTTGGGAAAAAATGTTTTATTACAATCTTTTTATTAAAATCTTTTTAAAGTTTTATTTATTACAATTGATGAAACAAGTCAATAACATTAATAATTACGTAATTTACATTATGTACTTTACATTATTTAACATTTTTGCTATATATTTACTTTCATTAAAACTGAAAAATAGACACACAAGGTATTTCCTTTGAAAGCAGAACAAATTCATATTTCGTTATTACGAGATATTTAAGGGTTTGCATTTCAATAAATGTAAAAATATTAATAAACACTAATGGACAAATTTGTTGTAATTTTTTGCGTTAGATAACCCTATGTTTATTATCCAATATTATTTAAAATACTGACTAAAAAAATAAAGGTTTTATTATATCCAAATGGACTTGCCTAAATATTAAACTGATTACATTATATTAATATTAATATTGCATTATGTATATGGTGCTGAAGATTATACTGTATTAATAATATTAAATTAATGCTATGTTAATAATATATTATAATACATGATTCTAATAATTATATTATACAATATTCTGACTACTGTATTATATGTATATTTTACAGTAGGCATCAAGTTCTTGTATCAACTTATGTAAAGGAGTTAATAGCATATTATAAAATCATGTGCAGCATGTTCAGAATGTCAAAGCCAAAGAGTATTGTGTTACTTAATACTGCAAATGCGCCTATGGATTTAAAATGTACTGAAGCCAGAAAATACAAAAATCTCTTTATACTGTTTGACTCGGAGTAAGATCTGGACTTAATACTTGTGTTTATACGGTTGTATTGAAAGCTGGACGATGTAGGACAATAGGTTTCATGGCTGCTAGAAAGGTGAAACAGTTAAAATAGAGAATATATAAAATGTTATTCTTTACACAAAAATGAGTTTATGAAATCCTCTCTCTGGTGACCAAATATAATTTACTTCATAACCTATGTTATTAAAATTTAAATTACGTTCGTTGCCGAATATACTCATTAAAGAGTAACCTGCTTTCATTCAATAAATGAACCGTTTATTATGAAAGTCGCATAAACAAAGTTAGGATAATGATTACAATAAATAAAGTGTAGTATATTATTAAATATTTATCTGTAGAGCGGTTGGGTCGCACGTCGGTAGATCGCACTAGTTCGGGCTCCTTCGGATTTTTGCCGAACACCGCCGAATGATATCTTACGTTTGTTTAATAACATCACTCAACCTAATAGCATCCTTTGAATAAATTATTTATTGCAATGAAACCAGTTTTTCTCGTGTACTGGCAACTGCAATCCTATGGCTAGATTTAAAATAACAACAGATACTTTTATCTGTAAGAAACCTATAGTAAAAATAATTCAAATTTCCTAATATTGGCCAACAGAAGTTTGGATTATTCACGGTATTGGAAGTATGTTTATTTTGGAAGTGATACAAGTCCATTGTAGGTTGAAGTTATTTTTAGCTGAATATGTTACGGTACAATTCAGCCGGTAAACTTTATTAGTATTGACAATATTGTGAATAATTACAAGTTGTGTACTATTGATGGTATGGGTAACGCCAATATGAGTGAGAATGTGTTAATTGCTGATTTCTATTACCATGTAATTCAGTTTCTAATAAATACTCAATGCAGTCGAAATGGAATGAAATATTTTGCAATAACGAAAAATGGACCTCCGCCACTTTCAAAATAAACGAACCAAATAATTGATATTTTGTAATGTTAATAAATACCTTGATAAAAGCATGTCACGAAATAAATTAATACATTCATGATGTATGACATTCATCTATCACCATAAAATAACAAAATGGAACGTGTTGAGGCGTCGAAACTCAAACCTCGTATTTGAGTCACGTTGTTCATGTAAAAAGGACAGGTGTCGTTAAATAAAAAAACAACAATAATTTTGGGTGTAAACCCCAAGGAAAAAGACCTTGCGGCCAAAAAACCTCGTGAAAAATCGTGTATTTGACTCGTTCATGTGAGTGTGAGATGTGTGCGTGTAACTAGGGTAATTGCGCAAGGCGCAAACCCGAAACGGGTCATAAATATGACCGCGTACATAGTCAGAGAGAGCACGATTGACGCACCCCTCTACGGGCCTTGCGGCCACATGTGTGTAGTTCGAGAGAGTACGATGTACGTACCCCTCTACGGGTTTTGCGGCCGCGTGTGTGTAGTCCGAGAGAGTACGATGTACGTACCCCTCTACGGGTCTTGCGACCGCTTGTTTGTTATGGGAATATCCCAGGGGTATGATAACTTACATACCTAATAACTAAACGATGTTGGGATTCGTTGCAAACTATCACTGACTTTGAATTGAACTTAAGAAAGGAGAACCACTAGGGCGTAACGTACAAAAAAAACTGATTCGCGTGCATCTCGCGTAGCTAAGCCTCGGTGGTCCCTTTTCCCCCTCTCTTAGGCGTTGGCGTTGCATCGCCCAGGAAGTGGTGCTAATATATATTTTCTATGCGTTCATCTGAAGAAGCTCAGGAGCGGCTAGCATAGCCGCGCGGGTTTCAAATATTTCCGTGTAACAGAACGTTCATTTAATATGTTTACAATTATCTTTGTAACATTTTAATTCTAAATTACCGGTTATTGAATTACTAAAATTTTTATGAAGGATACCTTTCACATATTTCACTCATTTTAATTAAATAATATGATAGATGCATATGATAATTAATACATTATTAATTCAATACATATTGAATTTAAATATACTTTGACGATTGTTTCAATTTTATTTCATTACTACACATAAATAAGAAGTAAATATCAAAATTGATAAATGTATAAAATATCAATTTATAAATTTCACCGTTTCAAATTATGTTGAGCATAATTATCGAATAGTAATTTTAAACATGGTAGACTTGTATTTTTCTTCCAAACCCAGAAAAATTCTGTATATAAATAAATACATTTTAATGATTTCACATTTATTTTTGTTTTACGCAATCAATAAATGTGCGTTTGAGTTTGAATATTAAAAAATTTAGTGTTACTGCATGTTGCGTGAACAGCGCGGATTCGTGCACCCGACACTATTCTGGCTCAGTCACAACTTAATGAGGTCTGAGCTTGATTCCAATTGATAGTTCGTGATATGATGTCCGACTAGTTTACGTTATAGGTACGTTGCTCAAGATATTAGTCGATTCGGTTCGTGTTTTAAAGTGTTTATTATTGGATGTATAAAAGCGTTCGGTTCGTGATTTAAAATGTGTTGTATGAGATATTACTGTGTTCTCTTCGTGATTTAGATATGTGTTATAGGATAGGAGATATTATCGTGTTCTGTCGTTTCCCGCAAAAGTAACTGTCGACGTTACTTCGGGATCGGTGATTTGGAAGGGGTGTGTTTTCTTATTGGTCGTGATTTTTTAGAGTTACCGCCCTCGTACAAGAAATGGTCACTTCTGGAAATAGCCGCGACCAAGGAGTGACGCACGAGGGATTCCGCGATTTGGGAAAGACCCGTAGCAGGTAATAAGGTGAAAAAGCACTCTGACCCTGACAACGATGGTTGAAAATAACGGAATTTGAAATTAAACATGCTGGTCCCAAGCAATAAATTTGGGTTGCCGACGCGAAAGTAATTTTATCTACCGAAAAATGGCTATTGCATTGTAAACTGTGAAAAGATAGGTGCATTGCACTCTAAGGCGATGCAACACTGCAATTGAATAAATGAAGATTTTTTGTGAGATATCAGAAAAATTATATTCCACAAAATTTTAATATTTCGAACCTATAAAATATTATTAATTAGATTAATTTCATCATCAATCAGGTTATGTATATTTAATCAGCAAAATCGGGTTATATATTATATTTAATTATTTAAAACCTACAAAACATCACACGAGCAAATAAGGTTAATCAATGGACATAGACTAATTAATATATTAAACCAATTTGCAAGGATCATCGTGACTGTTTCCTTTTCGAAAATTTGATTATAAACATATATTTAATTATTTAAAACCTACAACGTGTCACAGAAGCAAATCAGATTATCTGATTAATAAAAACTAATTAATTAGATTAATTTTTAGTCACTTCCATCATGACCACCTTCGTTCTAAAATTTGTTTATACACTTTTCATGTATTTTTTTAATAAAAAATTATTTCTAGAACCGACAAAGGAAAAATATGTTGTACAACACGCTGTTGTTATACGCGTATTTACATACGCCAAAACAGAAACAATTACTGCATATATCAACCGACAGCAAAAGTCTGTATAACAACGTTCATCGTTTTTAATCAAGAGAAATAATTGGAAGCATGTTACGCGAGAACCCGATGTCCTCGCAAAACAACAATTTCATTATCACCAATAACAAGAGCAATGGGGAAAAAGGAAAGATAGAATGAAAGGTTCCAATAACAGAGCCGAAAGCAATTATCCTGCTGTTGCTTATTGGAGAGATCTCCACAGTTTCCCTTTTATCCCCTTTAACCATCCCTTCGTGGTCGAGTATCACATCCCTATTTGGAAAGGTACATTTAAATTTCAGATTTCAATTTCAATTTCACGGATCCAGGAAATTGAAGAAACGAGGGAAGAACGACGCATACACGAGTCGATGCTTTCAAAATTTAAGATTATCCGTTGG